GAATTTGATGAATCTTTGTTATAGAATAAAAAAAAGATTTAGGATGTTTTACACATAATGACCAGAGCTCTCAACTCCTACCACAGATTAAATCTCCCTTAATAGCACACAATTATTCCCTCCCCTTTCCTATATCTCTCTCCTCCCATTTATACTCGCTAACTAACTAAGCATTTTAATAATTTATCCCTTTTTTTCCTTACATACACTTGCCATATTTTGGGCTTAGTTGGGCCTTCATTCAACAAGTGTTCTCGCTGATTATCTTCTATTTTTTTTATCTAGCAATACCACCTTCTGACACTGCAGCCTTGTCCTCAAGGCTAAGTGTGGGAAACTGACTTCGGAGCATGAATTCTTCTTCCCAAGTTGACAATGCGGCTAGCTAAGATGGCCTATGGTTTTGCTATATCTTCAACCACTAAGTTGCTAGGCATGTTGATTTTTGTAGAATATTGGCTAACTGCCTTCTTTAATTGGGAGATATGAAAAATAGGATGTCTTAGATGTAAAGGGCAGATTAAGCTTGTAAGAAATGTTTTTGATCCTCTCCAAAATCTGATATAGGCCAAAGAAACGTGGAGCTAGTTTTTTATGGATACGATGAGTGACTGAGAGGTGTTTGAGAGTTTGCAGTTTAAGGAAGACCCAATCTCTTACTACAAACTTCAAATTTTGACAATGCCTGTCAACTTGTGTTTTCATGTGTTCCTGAGTGTGCTGCAGATGGGCATTAAGATGATTTAAGGTTTCATCCCCATCCTTTAATTCACGTACGACTGCTTCTACTCTTATCTCTCCGTACACCAATTTTGGAATGGTAAGGGGCTTTTGTCATAAATTGTTTCAAAGGGTGTTGTTCCTATAGATGCATGATATGTGGTATTATACTAGAATTCAGCCCAAGGAACCCAAAAAACACCAGGTTTTGGGATGATCTGAAGCAAAACAATGAAGATACGTCTCCAAACATCTGTTGGCAACCTTTGTCTGACCATCAGTTTGAGGTTGGTACACAGTGCTCATTCGTAACTTGTTGCCATGCAGTTTGAACAACTCACTCCAAAAATTACTCACTTTAAAGGATCTTTGTCGCTTAATATGGAGGATGGAAGCCCATGCAATCGAACGATCTCCTTGGCAAAAACCTCTACCACCTTCTTAGTTGTATATGGATACTTTAAGGGAATGAAATGTCCATATTTGGACAATCTATCAACCACCACTAATATTGCATCAAACCCTTTGGACCGAGGTAAACCCACTATGAAATCCAATGAAATGTCCTTCCAAATCTGAGATAGGATGGGATAGGCAACGGTTGAAGTAATTCATTTAGTAGAAAACGTGAATGATCCCTAGTGGTGGATGAATGTAATTCATTTAGTAGATTAGGAATTAGAGAAGCAGCACCAAAAATGACTAGGCGTCCTTTGTAATACAACACTTCATTTGCATAAGAATACTTGCCTCTAAAACTTGGTTCAGTTTGGACATCTCGAATAATCTATTGCAAAAATTGATCTTGCAACACTTCCAGCTACCATATTGATTGTTGTTCCCACCGAGAAAAAAAAAGTATTAATTCACATTCCAAGATAAGGCATCCGCTGCTTTATTAGTCTGACTTGGCTTATATACCACTTCAAATTGATAACCAAGCAATTTTGCCACTCAACATTGTTGATCGACAGAGACTATTCGTTACTGTAACAAGTGCTTCAAACTCCTTTGATCCATATAAACCACAAACTGTCGGCCTAGCAAATAATGCCCCCAACATTGAATAGCCAAAACCATGGCCATCAACTCTTCTCATAGACAGATTTAGCCCATTGAGCTTTTGATTAAGCCTTGCTAAAATATGCAATAGGCTGACCTTTCTGCATAAGAACAACTCCAATTACTTTCCTAGAGGTGTCACATTCCACCTCAAATTTTTTATTAAAATTTTCTAAAGCAATGAGTAAAGGCTTTTTAAGAATGTTAAAGGCATCTTCAGCATCCCTACTAAAATTCGTCCTTTTTTGTTAGCACAGTGAGAGGTTTAGCAATTTTTCCATATCCTACAATGAACTTATGATAATAACCTGTTAACCCAAGAAAACCTCGTACCCTTTTTATATTATTGAGTCTTGGCCAATCCCTAGACATGTTGCATCTTATGTTGATCCACCTGCACTCCTTTGGATGAGATAACATGTCCCAAATATTTCACTTGACTTTGCCCAAAACAACACTTTTGCATATTGGCAACAAATTGGTGGTGGTGTAATATTCGCAGAACACATGCCAAATGATCTGGATGAGTAGATCAATTATTGCTATAGATCATAATATTGCAAAAAAAAAAAAAAAAACAACACAAATTTGTGTAAAAAAGGTTTAAAGATCACATTCATTGTAGCTTGGAATGTAAATGGTGTATTCGTTAATCTGAACGACATAACTAGATATTCATAATGGCTTTCATGGGTTCATAAGGTTGTCTTGTGAGTGTTTTCTTTTTTCATTCAGATTTGATGATACCCAAATTTCAAGTCCAACTTGGAGAAGAAAGAAGATCCAAAAAGCTCATTGAATGACTCATCAACTACAGGAATTGAAAACTTGTGTAGAATAGAAACTGCATTTAGTGCTGGATAGTCTACACACATTCTCCAAATATCATCTTTCTTTTTTTGCTGACTTGCTCTTCAATTTCATTTTTATGATGATGAGTGTATTTGTAAGGTCCAAAGTGTGTAGCCATGTTACCCCTAAAATCACATCCAATCCTCCAATATTCAACACATGAGCATCCACTTTCATTTCAGTCCCTGCCAATTGGAGCGGAATTTGACAACATTGGCCTTCGGTCGTCACCACATGTCCATCCACTAGTCTAACTTTAAGCTGGTGTGCACTGTCCACCTCCAATCCAAGTGAGTATGCAATTTCAAGGGTCACAAAATTATCACTAGCCTCGCTGTCGATCAATATCACTACCCGAACTCCACCTAACAACCCACTTAGTCTCATTGCTTTTGCACCATTTGGGCCTAACTCAGAGAAGCCCACTAATCCTATAACATTGCATTCTAATCCCTTGCCCTCTTCCATCTCCTCAACCTCTACCACTTCTTCATCTTCACCATCCACGTCTCTTTCATTCTCAGCCAACAACATGACACGTAGAGTTCTGTTTAGGCATTGATGTTTTGGCCCATATGGCCATATCTATCTCCGCACCTTAAATACAGTCCCAACCTTCTTTCCAGCAACTCTTCATTTGTGAGATGTTTAACACCCTTGGATTTTAGGTCCTACTCCTCTACGATCCCCATCATTCCTACTCATAGTCGAATGAATCGTAGGTGTCGTGCTTGCTGAATAACTTGACACTTGTACCTTCGACCCCATATTCATGGAGGTCGCTCCCGTTCGTGATGACCCTTGCTGGATGTTTGAAGAAAACTCCTTTCTTGTCCCGTTCTTAGCCCCCATCACATTCGCATAGACTCCTCAAAGAACACTCTGATTTTGTGCTTGCCCGCGCTCGGCTTCACCTCCTAACTCTTCCTCAACTCCTCTTGCAATCCTCATAGCTTGCCTTTGCGTTGTTGGATTAGACATCTGAATTCTCAGTCTGACTTCCAACTTCAAACCCCCTATGAAATATCCCAAATATTGACTTTCGGGGTAGTTTGGGAACTTAGGATGCCAATACCTCGAAGGCCTCAATGTACTCCTCTACAGAACCCTCCTGCTTCAGTAAAGACAATTCTTCAAACGGATTATCAAGTCGACATACCCCAAATCTGACAATCAAGACTTGTTTCAGATTGTCCCACGTAGACTCTTCCTCCTGCCTCCATAAATTGAACCAACGTATGGTGGCTCCCTCCATGCATAACTTCGCTAACTTCACCTTCATCCCTTCCGTTGTGTCATGCACCTCAAAATAGGTCTCAATCTTGCAAATCCATCCCGCAAGATCAACCCCAACGAACGCTGGAAGTTTTACTTTCTTGGTTGAAGAACGTAATTCCCTAAAACTCCCACACCCCGTTCGATCATTCTGTGAAGCTCCACTATTTTTTATATTCCTCCTCCCTAAAGCTATTAAATTTTTGAATTTCTCTAAGCAACATTTGTTATGTCTCTTGCATTCCCCGCATTTGTTCAAAAAACTTCGATTGCCGCTCAACTTGTTATTGATAAGACATTTGCAGAACCCCAATCGCCAATTCCACTTGCTGCATCCTTGTTTCAAGGACGTCAACCTTCTCACTCATTCTTGTTGACATGGGGATTTTCTATCCAGCAGGTCGGACCAGTTGTTAGGATACAAAGATCAAGAGAGATGAATATGAAAGAATTTGATGAATCTTTGTTATAGAATCGAAAAAAGACTTGGGGTGTTTTACATAAATGACCAGTGCTCTCAGCTCCTACCAGAGATTGAATCTCCCTTGATAGCACACAATTATTCCCCCCTCTTCTCTCCCTCCCCATTTATACTCACTAACTAATCCTTTTCTCCTTGCATACACTTGCCATATTTTTGGCTTAGCTAGGCCTTTATTCAACAACTGTTCACGCTGATTATCTTCTATATTTTCTGATTTAATAGCAAGCTTTCTCTCCCATTAACTTATCTCATTCAATTAATTTCTCACTCAATTATTGTCAATTTGACTTCACTTTCAAGCTACATACCGTGCAAATGAACTGAATTTGGATAGGATTGAGAATTTTGCAAAATTTCTCAAAAAATCTAGCCATTTTCACGTTATATGACCATTATTTTTGTAGAATTTGCTTTGAATTTTCTACTCAAGCTTTGGATTGGACAACTATGACTCTATATGGTCCAACGAATTATATAAAAATTTCAGAATTTTTTTATGATCATTTTCTTGCTCAAAATGGGCCAACATTCCATACTTATTTGAGAAGTATTTTGGTCATTTTATCCAATTTTATAGCTTGTATTTAATTTATTTATTTTTTGTCTTCCTAACTAATTTTAATTCTTAAAATCATTAATTTAGATAATTTAGAACCACTTCAAATGGCTTGAATAATTAATCTCTACTAAAATTTGGGTCATACTCTTCTTGCATTGCCCAATTTTTTCCTAAATTGCTCCATTTTTTAGTCAATTTTGCTAAGTGTGTTTTCCTCTTTAACTTTCAGATGATATCAAATTCTAATTTAGTTAAGCCAATATAATTTAGAAATAGTAAAATTTTGGGATGTTATAGTAAGATTCTAATTTACAATTGAAGTGCCACAATAAATGGTGAATGTTAGAGAATACTTTCTCGACTTCAGCAGCATCGATTTGAAATTTATTGAAATTCATAAGACATAAATCCCAACAACCTGAAATTAAGTAAATTAGCAACTATAAAAAATAAGTTGTGATTTAAAATACATACTATTTATTAAAAAAAAAAAAAAATGCCTGCCCGTTTATGTTAAAAGCAAGTTACCGCATTCCTGACAATTTAAAACCAAAAACAAAATGTTCATGTTTGGTTCGCTTGGAATGACATTTGAAGGAACAGGAATGAAAGGGGATCATTAATCATTTTGACATATTTGGTGTGATTAGGATGCAAATGACTTTTAGTGCAAAGAAATTAAGGCACGGTCAGTAAGTAAATTGAAAAAGTTTCAAGAAATACCGCACAAGTAAATTTTATAAGATAGATAGATAGACGAGATGATTTACCTAGTCAAGAAGGTGGTCATAGATAATTGTGCATCTCCTGGAAAGTAATTCATAGCAAGGAGTATTTCATTTCCTCATTGCATGCCTCCAAAGTCCAAGCCCAATCATGCTAGAGGTTATCTAAAAGGGTCAGCACCCCAGTTCAAATTTCATCGTAACACGGTTCAGCACACACAAAACAAACAATATTAGGTGCTGCTAGCTGGAGAATACGGATACATTCTACCATCAGGTAGCAAGCCATCCTTGGCCATTTCTGTTAGCACATTCAAAACAGCATCCATGTTACCTTCTTTAAAGTTAACATCAACAAGCACTTTAGCTAGCTCAGCATCATTGAGCTTACAGCTCCTCAATATGTTTTGCAATACCCAACTGAGCTCATCATTCATCGCTTCCCTAGATAGAGCTTTCATGAGAGCAATTACAGTCACTGTATGAGAAACAAAACCACAATGCACCATCTCTGTATACAGAATATATGCCTTACGAACATTTCCACATCTACAATGTCCATGTATTATTAAATTATATATTGCTGCATTAGGTTTATGATTCCTCTGAAGCATTTCCTTAAAAACTTGATCTGCTTCATTCATCAAACCCTTCATGCAGAATCCTTTGACAAGACCTACCACACTCTTAAATTCATTATTACTGCAGTTTTCTATCAGCGTATTGTATGTTAAATCATTTGGTACAGACTCTTCATAAAACAACTTCAGAAGAAGCCTCTTTGCTTCTTTTGTCCTAGCTTTCTTATTAAGTCCATTTATAAGTACACTGTAAGTAACGTCATCAGGTAAAAACCCCTTTTGTATCATTTCATCATGCAAACAAAGAGCCTTACTCAATTCACCCTCAAAACAATAAGCATTTATCAAACTAGTATAAATAACCTCATCAGGCGGGAGACCCCTGTGCATCATCTCTTGGAAGAGATCAAAAGCTTCCAACAGTTTTCGCTGCATACAGAGCCCTTGAATAAGTGATGAGTACATAAACGCATCAGGCAAGATTCCCTTTTCAACCATCTCCACCTTCATTTGGAATGCTTTCCCCAGCTCACTGTTTCGGCAAAACCCAGATATCACAGTGCTATAACTGACAACATCAGGAGACAACCCCCTCTCAACCATATCCCTCAATATCCGCATCGCTTCCTCAACCCTCCCCAAAAAGCAATATCCATGGATAAGTGCATTGTAAGTTATAACCGAAGGCGAGAATCCATTAAGAATCATTTCACTCAAAACCTTATAAGCCTCGCTCAACAACCCTTGCTGGCAAAACCCATCAATTAAAGTTGTATAAGTCCTCTCATTGGGACTAAGTCCCCTAACACGCATCTGATCGAGAAGCCCCATCGCCCGACTCAAATTCCTAGCCTTGCACATACTATTAATCAAAGTAGTATAAGTAACAACATTGGGAGACAAACCCTTACCAGCCATCTCGGAATGAAGAATAAGCGCCTCATGGAAATTCCCTTCTTTGCAAAAGCCATTGACAAGTGTGTTATAAGTAACCTCATCAGGTGCCAACCCCTTCCTTTTCATCTCCTCAATCACTTCCCTACCCTCACTCATCCTTCCTTCTCTACACAATCCATTGATCACAGTGTTATAAGAAACCAAATTTGCCGCCACGCCCTTCGCTGCCATCGCTCTCAACAACTCAATCGCCTCCTCCACCCTCTTCTCCTTGCAACTCGCATCTATTAACGTGTTATAAGTAACCACATTGGGCGAAATCCCTCCCCTCTCCATCTCACGCACAAACTCGTATCCCCTTTCCAAATCCCCTCTTGTAACACAGCCGCGAATCATGACATTGTAAGTGTACACATTCGGCGACACGCCGTTTTGGATCATGTCGTTGAACACGCGTTCGGCGTCGCTGATGGAACATTGGTGGGACCTGCGTCTCAAAATTGAGTCGAGGATCGTGTTGTACGACAAGACGCCGGGGGAGTAGCCGTGTCGTTTCGCTAAGCTGAGGATGGTGAGGGCCTGGTGGAAGAGGTTGAGGCGAGAGAAGGACTTGACGACGAGGTCGAAGACGGCGGAGCTGGAATTGCAAGAGTGGTAGGTGTCGTTTAGGTGGCGGAAGACGACGGCGCCGGTGGGGTCGTCGAGGTCGACGACTAGGTCTTCGACGAGGGACTGGGCGGTGTTGTAGAGCTTGAAGCGAACGAGGATGTGAAGAGCCAGGCACTTGCAATGGGGCGTGAGAAAATGGTGGTGGGCTTGGGCTTGGGCTTGGGCTTGGGCTTTGGCTTTGGCCCAGTGAAGGAATTTGAGGAGGGTGCGTTTGTCGATTTGGGAGTTGAGAAGAACGTAGGAGGCTGCTTCGGGAGTGAAGTGGGGAGACAGTGATGCCAGGTTTTGAGGATGTCGTTTCAGGTATGCGATTGCTTTATCGCCCATGCGGACGACGTCGTTTGAAGGACCGGGAGCTGTCGTTGTGGCTGTGACCAAACGCTGATTGTGGGGTGTAAGGAAAACTGCTGTGGTTCTGGGACCGATACGATACATCTTCGCTGTCGTTTGCAAATCGAAAGCGCTGTATCTGTAATTTAACTAGGTCATTGACTACTCACTCAGTACTCTCCGTCATGTCGTTTGTGGAGAATGCGAAGAGCGCCGCCGGAGATCCAAGCAACGGACTTGAACCCGTATCTCCCCAGAAAGCATGCCGAAGGTGTTCAAACTGAACCAAAAATTGATTCCAATAATTCAAAAATAGATTAAACTGAAAAATGATCAAATTGAACATTGAAAAGAAAACAGCATTTTATGCTGTGATTGGATTTAACTTCCGATTCGTGTGGTTAAAATTGAACTGAATCAACATTTATAATATATTTATATTATTTTTTAATTATTTTTTTATAATTGTTTTTCTTTTATTTTATCGTAATATTATGTAAATATATGATGTACTATTTTTTATAATATTATTTTATTTATTTTATACTTTAGTTTTCTTACTTGAACATTTTTTCCTTTTCTATAAATAAATTTATCATTTTCTTTTACATTTTCACCTTTTAATTAATTTTTTTATTCTATTTTTCTCAATAAATCTACTTCATTTTCAAGTTACTCTCTGATATAAAATAAAACACTAAATTAAAATTCATGAAAAATAAATAATTTTAGAAAAATCAAAGTTATTTAAAATAACAAAAATAAATAAATAAATATGTTGAAATCAAATTCAAAAGTGTAAAAAAATTATTTAATTTTTATATTATATTCTTTTTTTAGTTTGGACCATGGGTATTTGAAAATTATTTATGTTAAATTCTAATCGTATGATATTTTTACGTTGAATTTTACAAAATTAAAGTAAAATTATCAAATGACAAATACTATAAGAGTGACGATCAGTATCAGTTTTAAACTTACTTTATTTTGATAATTTTTTTATTTCCTTATTTAAATTCATAAATAATATAATTTTTTAATCTAATTTTATTATTTTAAAAAATAGTTATTTTATAATGATTAACATTTTAAAAAAATAAATTTTAAAATAGAAAAATGAGACATGTAACATAAAAATAAGATGTACAAGTTCATATATTTTTTGGCTCAAAAGAACTATTTAAAATGAACCAAATTGTGAAAAAGATAAAACTGATCATGTGAAAAACAAAATTGAATCATGCTTATGTTTGAAATTAATTTAAAAATTTAACTATCTTTTAAATAAAGTTTCGTTAATCGAATGGGTTAAACTTAAAAGAAAACATAAATAAAATTAACAATAATGATAACAAAAAAATTATTAATAATTTAAGATTATTCTATATGGTACACTTAATAATTGAAAAAAGAAAGGAAAAAAAAGAGTTTAAAAGACTTACAAGAAAGAAAATAAGAGATAAACTTCTTTCTTATTTAGATGTTTAAAATTGAGAGAAATGATAATCAAAAGTTTAACATGTAAATAATATTATTATTTTTTATATTTTTATTTATAATTTTTTTATCTTTTTCTTAAAAAATATATATAAATTAATTATTTTTTCTCTCTAAAAATTAATATTTTTAAAATTTTTATTTCTATTTTTTATATTTTTAAAAAAATTCAATCTAAAAACTAATATTTTAAAAAAAATATTTTTTTATTTTCTTGTTATTCTAACTCTAGACCATATTAAATGTTTAATCTAATAAATAAAAATATAAATGATAAATTATACTACATAATTTATTAGAATTAATAAAATTAAGAAAGTTTTAGATGTTTAGAAAAATTCTTCAATTCTTCTTCTCATAATTAATTAACTTTTAAATAAGAGTTAGGTCACTAATTTTTCTCTTTTCCTTCTCTTTCTTTTTTAACATAAAATCTAAATAGAGTATAAATAAAATGATATTGTTAATGGATTTTATTAATTACAGAAGTTCTTGATTGAATCCGCAAGTACAAATTTACCATTGTTGACCTAATTTCAACTTTAGAGTTGAATTTGCAATTGGAAAATCCTATTTTTTTTTTTTTAAATCCGTCTAACTTTTACTTATTTTCTTCACAACTTGGTGGTATCTTGATTTTACCCTCTTTCACTTTTCACTTTTACAATGAATGAACCCTTTGGAAATTTGATTTTCTGTAACGTTAGTTCAATTACATAATACATATTCGATGGTTTGTTCATTTATTTCTTCAAAAAGTAGTTTGGTGTTAAAAATAATTCAATCTTTTCTTCCGAACTTATGTCAGAAAATACTGGAACAAAATCAAACTATAAAACCAGTTTCAAACTGATTTTGACCAATTCATAAAAACCTAAATTAGTTAATAAATTAGTTCTAGTTTAAGTTTAATTATTAACATGAACTAAACTATGCCCACCCTTAATTTTACCTGTCCTAGCTTGATGTTAATTTTAACAACTTTAAGTTTTCAAAATTAGACCTAGTGTATTTTGAGAACTGGGTTTAAGTTATAATTTGAGTTATTCTAACCTGAATCTTAGTGTTCTTTTCTTTTAGAATTTATACTTTAAAAAGTAATTATGTAGTAATAATGATTCTTCAAAACTTAGTAGATAATATTTTGCATATTATAATATCATATTTATACGATATCATTTGTTTTAAAATATATAATGTAAATATACTTTAATTTTATATTTTATTTATTCTAAGATATAACTATACATAATATAAAGATTATTATAATTTGTTTATAAGTCAGGTTAACCCAATGCTGTCCTAATATTATCAAGTTTTGATTGAGTCAAATTTGAAGTTAGAAAAATGACATTATGAAATTTTTGGGTTGGGAAAGATAAATCCTCCATCATTCACTCCTTACATAAAAATATTACCATTGCCAAAAAAAAAAAAATCAACTACTTACGTTATAGAAAAAAAAAAAAAGCAAATGCTAATTAGATTAGTTCACAAATAATTATCAAATCAAATATCTTTTATACTTTTTACAAGATTTAGTCACCATTATTGATCAAATTCTTTTTGTGGAATGAAACTACAGAAACATTTATATCATTATTAACTACTTAGTATTAAAAGTAATATTTGAATCTCTATTCAAAATTATCATCACCTATCAGTATGCTACCATAACTAATAAAGTTACAAAAGTTTTACAAAACGCAATACGTTATTATTATACTTGACACGTTGATAAAAAATAAATTAATTAAAAGTACTTAGTCATATTTATCATCGATGTGATGATTTTGAAGGTTAATTTTAACAATTCATTTGTAAATTCTATTAGTTGTGAAGATTTCGTATCAAAGTGAATACTTCTTATTGATAAAAATGATCTGTAAAAAATATTTGGTTTAAAGTATTGTATTCCATCCAAGAAAAATAGTTTATGTTTTGTGCATAATAGTTTTAGTATTATAATACCTACAAGTCAAAAAAATAAGAGTAGAAATTAACTTTTTCAAAGATCATGTAAACTCTAATACACATGAGTAATTTTATAATTCAACATGAAGACCCTTGATGTAAAATATTATGGAAAAGTCTTTGGAAAAGGTAGCAACAAAAGTATACAAGAAAGATGGTTAGAAAGATTTAAAAAAAGTTTGTTCAAACATAAATGCACATTATTAAAATAAATTGAAGAAAATAATAGAGTGTGTATACAAAGTTTATAATTTTGAAAAAGAAAAAGTAAAATATATGATAACATTTAAAAGCTCTTCAAAAAATTTAACTAGTATCATAGTAGTTAACACTCTAACATTATTTTTAACTCGTTTTGACATAACTCATGTTACGCCATAAATCACAACTGAGAATAATTAAAATTACAATTGTTATTTCATACTAAGTAAAATATTGACTTTACTTTTCCTTTTTGAGCATTGGACCTCTTCTTAAGGTAGACAATATTAGGATTTCACCCCTTCCTTTTTACATTGCTGAATTTGGTTTTTCCTTTAACAAGTTGAGCCCTAACTTGCTTCCTCATTTCTCATTCACGTCTTGCGATGTTGTTCTCTATTATTCTCTATTTATGTTTTCTATAACATAATCTTCTTGCTTTTGGTCTTCTTCTCTATAACATAATCTTTCAATATGACCTAAATATTTTTAGGTGACTAACCACTCTCTATTTTCTATTTTCCTTCTTTGTCTTGATTTTCTTTTTCTATTTTTTATTTCATTCTCAACTTTATTTCAAACTTGAATTCATTTAGAAGCAATGATTGCTTCCCTAATCAATTGTTTCAATTTTTTTCCAATAGATAATAACTTGGATATAGGTTGGCAATGGAGTAGTTTAAAAGGCATCAATAATAAAAAGATTATTACTTGTGACTTTTGTGAAAAAAACTACTACCAACAGTATTACTCAAGCTAAGATATATTAAATGTGAAGGGTGATGTTTATAATTGCCTAATAATTCTCAAAGAAGTAAAATAAACACTAACAGTAGTTCATAAGAAGAAGAAAGTTAAGAAAGAATCGATGATGAGGAAGAAAAGGTGCAAGAAATTTAAAATATTTGTAGTGCATGAGCTTATAATAGTGGCTTTACTACCACTAAAAAAGGCAAGAATGTTAAGGGCCCTTTGAATTTATCGTGGTGGAAGAATCTATAAACAAACATCAAATTAGAAAAAGTAAAAAGACAAACAAGTATAAATTATATTTGTGTCAAGGAAGCATAAGCAAGAACATGCAACACACAGAGCAATTCTTTTGTAAAAATTAAATTACTTTTAATATTATACATTTAAAATGCTTCAAATTAATGGTTGAAACTATTAAAAATTATGATCCACACCTAAACCTCTCAGCTATCATGAGCATATATTTTTCTCTTCTTAAAAAGAAATTAGAGTATACAAAGTAAATATTAAAAAATTATGAAGAGAAATTGTGAATATTCAATTATGCCAGATGTGTGGATGAATATAAAAAATAGAACATTTATTAATTTCTTAGTAAAATGTCTAACTAGTTTTATGTTTTGGAAAAATATTGATGTATCTGCTTATATAAAAAATAGAGAAAAAATGTTTGAATTTTTTGATAGATTTTAATTTTAAATAAATTGTTGCAAGATCAGAAATAAAGTTTATTTTAGATATTATTTTTAAATTAAAAATTATTAAAATAAAAAATTTATTACATTAGATAATATTATTTTAAAATTTAATTCATATTTAAATAGTCAATTGATATTGCATTTCATACCTTCATATTGGATAGTTAAGGTTATTTTTTTAGTATCTTTTACGCACATTGTTACATAAGTTGTGCTTCAAGTTTAAGATAGAAGGAAGTTAATATTTTAAATATTTTAAATTAATTTTTTTTGTTCCTTTAAGCATTTCAAAATATTATTTTTGTATTTTTGTTATTTTCAAAGAGTGAAAGTAAGAAGTAATTATTGCTCAATAGAGTATTACCTATGAAATCATTTACATCAAACAATTTACTTGTGACAAAAAATACTATTAAATATAGTGTTTTGTGTTTAGTTTTCTGGTCCAAAGTCAAAGATCATGGAGTCTCTCCAAATCCAATATGACTAAGACTAATATGCATTAGCGGTTCATGGGTTGCTGTTGACACGAGAATATGAGAAAATTTTGCACACCACGAAATTTAAATACATCACCTGTTAAATGATAGACAACACACATGTAAATGGAATGAGACATTGCACCACTACGCAACCATTTGAGTTTTTGTACACCTTAGTTAAAATCAGTACATTTATTTATATGTTTATTTTATTTTTGCAGTTAATTATTAGTTCCTTTATTTGTGTTTCTATTACAATTTTTGTGAGTTCTATGTTATTTTTCCGACAAGATTTACACTACTTTCATCAAAAGATTCAAAACTTGTTTTTTAATAAATGATAGTCACATTGTTTAATAGACCAAAGCACAAATTAACAAGCAATTGCTTCAGTGCTTGTTCACTCGACAACTTTTATCTATATATTAGTTTGCATTACAATATTAATGAAAAGTAGTATCGTCAAATTGATCAAAGTATTCAACCTGAAACAAGACGGTTTTATTTGCTATAAGAAAATGAAAAACATAATGACGGTGGTTAATGGGAGTGCAAATTTTTCATGGCCATTGCCAGAAGGGACGAAGCATTGGCATCACAGCAAACTTCATAGTGCCATTGTTGCAATGGAAGCCGTTTCGCTCGCCACATGCGAAGTAGTGAGGCTGCCACTTCTTGAGCACAAACTTGAATCCCTCCCCTGCACCTTGCGTTGGATTCGCCAGCATCTTAGCCTCTTTAAGGTCACAATTCAAGAAGCTCCAGAAATTTTTGAATATGTACACGCTGTGTGGGAAAGTGGTGGCGTTTGGAGCATCATACTTGAAAACTACACCACAATTCAATGCTCATATATTAATCATCCTATATAGTAGCTTTTGCATTTTCATTAAGCACAATCAATAAAAACAACACTCGATTCAATGTTAAAATAACATGGATGCAAGGGTTTTGTTGCTTTTTAATTATTAGTTTAGGGTATTTCTATTGTGACTTCTATTTAAGTGATTTTGCTTCTTTTTTATCTTTTACAATCAAATTAATTAGAAGAATGTTTAGAAAAAAAAATATTAAATAAAAGTGGTGATCATTAGTTTGATGTATCTTAAATTTTTAATTAGTCATAATAAATGAGTAGTATATAGTCATGCTAAATAGCACGATATATTTTGACGGTGAAATGGATTCTCACGGTAGCCAAAAGTCATTTGACCAATTTTTAACTTTGTAAAACTAATTACGGGGTGAGTAAAGTTGATTTTATTAAGAGAAATCATGAAAAAATAAAATTATTCTTCATTGATAACAATAGATTAAGGTGGAAAGAGTTACAAAATGTATCCATGTTTAAACATAAAAAATAATTTTACTATATCAATGTATTTAACCAAAATCTTAAAATATCATTTTTTAAATATAAATTAATATGTAATTATTATATAGTATATTTTAATTTTACTATATTCATGCTAGAATTGGTTGCCCAGAAAAACTCACCTAGAGTATCGTTGACGTAAAATGGGGCATTCTTGATGGCCCAATCGGTGTAGTTGTAGCCAAAGTGCCAATGCTGGGAACCACCTACGAGTATTTGCCTGGGTTGTAGCTGTGTTTTGTTCAGGTTATGACTCCCAAATCTGGAGGACCACCCGGTGTAATTGAAGCCAAAGAACCAGTCTTTATTGGCCATGCTCACTGAAAACATTGAAGCTGTTATGACTAGTACGATGAGTGTAAACTTCAAATCCATTGTATATGTTCCTATATATTCTCACAAGTGTGGCTAAATAAAACAAGAGAATGTGCAAAATGTTAAGTATGATTTGATTGGTGTTGTTGGTGGAATGGTTGAAGGTAACAAGTGTTTATATAGGGAGAGTGTGAAGGGGAAAGAAAGGAAAGGGAGGCATGAAATATGAATTTGACTCCAATATTAAATGGTGGTGCAAAATGGCCAAATTAACTCTCAATTTGTTGTTGGTAGGTACACTAAAAATTGGAAATGCATGGAATCTGTCTTCTTGTGCTTTTTTCTTCAACTCGCCGTCAATTTTTCTTCCACGCCTGGTCTCTTTCCCGTAACATGATTAATAAATTATGTTATTTCTTTTTTTAATAAGGAAAAAGAAAAAAATAATTACAGCTTCTTAAGTCTTTTTAGTATTCCTATTTAATTAGAATTACAATTTTACTTTGAAAATAAATATTTAATGTTGGCCCATTATTAAAGTAAAATTCTAATTTTAATAAAAAAAACCACTAAAATTTAAAAATTAATTACACCTAAATATTGTCCTAAATAAAAATAATAAGCATGTGAAAAATTTATATTAATTATTGATTTTTAATTTTAATTAAATTATATTATTCATGATAAATTTATGAACTTAAATATAACAAAATTATATTTAAATAATTTATAACTAATAAAAAATAACATCTTAAAAATAATTTAAAATTTATATTACATATGACAAATTTTTATAATTTAAGTGGTTAAATTATTGTGCATGTAACTGAAAAAAAAATTATACCATAATTTTTCCTTTTTTAAAAAAAAAAAAACTAAACCATTTAATATTTAGAAAAATTTTGTCATAAAATTAATAAAATAAATTTATAACATCATTGTAATATTTCCAATGATTTATGATTAGAATAAGTAAACTTAAAAAAAATTAAAACATGTAATATTAAATAAAATATAAAATAAGATTGAATAAGATTTCACGGTAGAGTACTTATCAATAAATTTTTATGTAACAATTTTATTAATTTTTAAATTTTAAAAACTAAAAAATATGATAAGAAATTATTTTATCACATTTTTTTTATATTTTTTATTTATAAATTATAGTATTGAAATATAACATGAAAATATTGTTCTCATTATCAGTATATATATGGGAGACATTTTAAATGAGAGAAGTTTATTATTATGAGAAGTGAGATACATTAATAATGGCTATTAGATCAAAATAAAAAATTTAGATTTAATGTTGCTACTTCAATATCTACGTTCTTTTCTTTTTTGTCAATAGTCATTATTAATGTCTCTTAGTTCTCACTTCTCAATTAAAATGCTCTTGTATATATTATTAACATTGAAAATCTTTAATGATATATACATTTTCTTCTTAAAATATACTCTTAGAATTTATAAATAATATTTTTTCTTTTCAAAACATACCTGCAATTATTCTAAAAAAATAATAGTATCTATAATTGATACTTTGCTTTCAAATTAGTATCCATGTTTAACAAAAGTTATGTTTTAGTTATTTTAAGAATATTTTGTTACATCTTAATCTCAACCATTAACAGTGTTATAATGCTAGGGACAAAAATTTAATAAAATAATTATATAAGAATTAAAATGTAAATTTTTTTAAATATAAGAACTAATTCATAAATAAATATTAATTTATAAGTATTTATTTTGTTTCAATTCCTTTCATCATTAAAAATATTATATTGACAATAATCTAAATTTAGAAAAACACAGACAAGAATAAAAGCAGAAATTTTTTAAATATAAGAATTAATTCATAAAAAATTATCAACTATAAAAATTAAATATATAATTTAACAAAAAACTTAATAAGCTTTGGAAAAAAATTAATTTTGATTATATTAAATAATTATATTATGAATTAAATAATATCGAATTTTATTTTTTTTTTCTTTTCAAATACTTATTTTTATAAATATTAATAATTATTAATTTATTATAGTCAATTTTCATGATTTTTTTATACTTTTTATGAATTTTAATAATCATGAAATAAGTCAAAATATCAATTTCAATATTAATAAGACTAATAAATAATAATTTTTATAGTCAATGATACACAAAAATATATAAATCTTTCATAGTATTTTTCAGTCCATAATATGAATAAAATATGATAAAGTTTGATTAATTTTTTCTATTAATTTTTATAAATTGGTGTAATGTTCATTGTATTCTTTATGCATTAAAATATATACAATTTTAGTCTTTCTAATTTTTATTATTTATATTCAATTTCTTTAATTTTTTAAATGCTCAAATTAAGTTATGTGAGAAAGAAAGATTATTAAGATGTATAAACAGTAAATGAGTTGAAAATATTTATTTTGTAGCTATTGATATTTTTTAAAACATAACAATTAATTAGACATAAATCATAAAAATTATTTAAATTATTTAAAAATTATAAATAATATAATAAAATTAAATAATTTTTATATTAAATTTTCAACCACTAATATTAATAAAAATTAACTTAAAAAATTAAAAATAATGATAATGTGCTAAACTTAATTTATACACAATTATTAAAATTTATTTAAAAATATAAAAATAATTAAAACTATTATGATAAAAAGATAAGATACACAAAAAATAAACTTTATAAAATGTTTAATTTTATGTTGCATTTTTAATGAAAGTCATAATTATTAAGATTTATAAGAATTAATTACAAGTTGAATATATTTATTTCGTAACTATTGCTATTTCTAAAAAATAATGATAAATTGATTAGACATAATTCATTCAAATTATGTGAATTTATAAAAAAATTATAATTAATATGATATAATTTAAAATTATTTTAAATTGTAACTACTAATATTCATAAAATTATTTTATAAAATAATGATAATTGATTAAAATTAATCTATACAAATTATCAAAGTTTATTTAAAAAAATTTCAAATGATAATGAGAACTATTATGAGAAAAAATGCATTATTATGTTTAAATATAAATTATAATTAATCCATAATTAATAAAATTATTTAAAAAATAACTAAAAATGTATCAAAATTGATTAAATTTAATTCTTAAAAACTATCTGATGGTAATAGAAAATTTAAAATATATATATATATATATATATATATATATATTTTGTTAAATATCAATATTTTATTAAAGATAAATTTAGAATACAAGGACTACTCTAACTCATTAAAACTTTAAAATTAAAAGATGATTAATTCAATTCATATATATAATTGATCTTCTAAAAAATTCTATTGCAAATCACATCCAAAAAGAATACTTAATAAAATCAAACCTTTTAGTAACATTTAATACATTATTATTGAAAAAAATATTAAAAGAATAATAAACAAATTGACAGTCAGATCATTTTTATATATTATATTTAAGAAAAAATAATTAAAATTTGTTATGTATAAAATATTTTTTTTAGTGGCCATTGAATGTTAAAAATAACAATAAATTATTAGTCATGAATTATATTTAATAAGAAGTTAACCATAGAATGTTCAAAACGGAAGAATGCATTAATTACTTTATTTTTCTTTCTTTAAACAATTTAATTAATTAATAGATATTTTGACTGATAAATATTTGTATTAAAAGCTAAATATATTTATAGAAAATTTTATTTATTAATTACCTTATAATGACAAGTGCATATATTTTTAAAATTATATTACGAAATACAGCTATGATAAGAAACACACACCTTTTTCACTCTTACTACGAGTAAACGACCTCCTCATTAATTCATCTAATAACTACCAATATATTCTTTCCTAGATATTTATGTATTAGAATTATATTTATTATTTTTTGGCATCCCAAAAAATGTATTTTCAACCCCCTCCCTTTCATTGTAAGTTTCAGCAAAATTAGAAATTTATCATATTGACTCTTTTTATTTATTTATTTTGATTTAACTTTTCAATTTTTAGATTTTATTTAGTTTTTTCTGTCGATTATAATAGTTTTTAGCCCTAAAAGTTATGATTATTTTGTCAATTAAAAAATTAGTTTTTGCATAATTATGATTATTTTGTCAATTATGATTGTAATAGTTTTTACATAATGAATTAAAAAAATGATAGTGACCAATATATTTAAGTAGAGTTTATAAAATTAGTTTATATTTTATATTTTATTTTACGCTTATGTGATTTGTGGGTTGGCATCACTGGAAAGAAATACAAATTCTTCTAACACGTGAGCTGAAAGGTCAAAGGTCAGAGGTCAGAGTCAGCGTGTAATAGTAATATTATTTGATTTATTTGTATTGCAAAATTAACTGAAATTAGTGTGGTGGAAATTAAGTCCACAAATTCGTATACGGCTTCATACTTTGTGTAAATGAGGTACATGCCAACGTGAGTGATGCCATCATGGCGAATTAATGGCGTATTATTAGACTGCAATTTATGCTATAAAAATTAATGTTAATGTTATTATAATGAGTTAAGATTTGTTCACACACGTCTTATACTTAAAGTTTTTAGTAATTTTTTATTGAACACCAAAAATATAAATATAAATTTTATATTATTTAAATATTTGTAAATCTATTACCTAAAATTTGATATTTATTTATATTTAAAAATATTTTAACTGTTAAAATAAACTAATAACATGAAATATTTATTTATTCTGTTTTTTATAAAATTTTATAAGAATAATTTATTATATAAAAAGTTATTAAATATGTAAATATCTAAATTTAACATCTCGTGTTAATAAATTCTTACTCATAAAATATATCATATCAATAATGTAAAATTATTTTTATATAAATTAATTTTAAATATATTATTATTTAAATATATTTTATTAAATCATAATAAAAAAAATTATGCTATATTTATATAATTTTATATTTATTATATTATATAATATAAAAATTATTATTTATATTTTTATAATTTAGATATAAATAATTAATTATTATTTTATTATTATATATATATTACATAATACAATTA